AGGGTAATGTTGGGGTTAATGTTTAGTGTGTTGCATTGTAGTGTTAAGCCGAGGTCTTTACTGGGACATGCAGGTGCCTGTGCTGGCTGAGATTAGTGGGAGTAACAAAAAAACAGGTGCAAGAGAGTACTGGGAACGGACAACAGCTCAAATAACCTGCCCTTCGGTGGGTCCCCGCTCAGATTTCAAGCTGGTTTTAGCTTATCTTGTGCCATTACAGAGAGAACCAGGCAATTTGCACATCACACTGATCCCGCCTAAAAGGGCAGAACAGATCCAAAATACAGGCCAGCTCGAACTGCACGAGAGATACAGCAATCCCAGACAATCGTTTCTCTCTGTAATGGCACAAGACGAGCTAAAACCAGCTTGAGAGCTGAGCGGGGACCCAACCGAAGGGCAGGCTACTTGAGCTATTGTCCGTTCTCAGCACTCTCTTGCAACTTGTTTTTTGCTCTCGTTTAGGGGGAGTAACAGTTCCAGGTAGCAGCTATTTCAGCTGGGGTGTCCCCTTATTTTTTTTCTGTGCACACTGGGACATGTAAGTGCAAAGGATTAGGCCTCCCAGGCAGGAAGGATGTGATCCATGCATTTTAAACCATTCATTGGAAGATCGTGTAATCTACATGTATTCACACACATACACACAGTATTGACGTCCTCTGGAATCTCCTTAGCGGTTTCCCCAGTAGAAAGCAGTAAACGGCACTAACCACTGCTGACTGCATTATTTTTGACAATACCGGGTTTTGTGAATCAGCCAGGTATATAAATACAACATGGATTGTTTGCAAACCCCACTGGAAAACAAACAATAGCCTTGCATAATCAGCAGGAACCAAGGAAGGGAACATTTTAAGAAAAACAATGTTGATCTCAGTCCCCTGCGTGCAAGGTAAACACATTACTGTACTAGCCTTGCCTCCTGGTCCTGTGCATGTGAGCCCTAAATAAGCTTTTTGACAGCTGCCACGCACCCAATGATCATTCCTGCAATTAGTTACAATACACACCTTACAGCAGCTGGGGAACGCTGCACAACTACACCCAAAACAAAAAGCCAGCCGCCGCAGCAGGAAAGAAATTGGAAATATTTTTATTTTCAGGTACCATTCAAAAAATGGAAGAGCATGCAATTGATTAAAAAAATGATACTGTGTTTTTTTTTTACTCTTTATTTTTTATACAAACAACTTCAAAAAAGATAAGATAATGCCAGAAGGTATGTGTAGCTTTTCAGGTATGTCCCAGGATTGCAATGTTATCACCTGCTGAACTTTAACAGTATTGAGGTTATTGACCTCAGATGTATGAAAGTCTGACTTGACCCTGCCAGGAATTGAACCTGCAGCACTGACGTAATACAGTTGAACACTATCCACTGAGTCAACTATTCTGTCTATTATTTAGATGTGCTTTTTCAATGTAAGGTTCGATTTCAGGTTGCCTATCCATCAATCTAGCTAAAGGCACACTTCACTATCCAAATACAACATTTTTTAATAAATAAAATCACTGTTTTGTAGTTACACCCCAATACCCATTGTACAGCGCTACAGAATTTGCAGGCGCTTTATGATTAACAAAATAATACACATGGCCTGGAGTGTCCCTTTAAGACCTTAACGAGATAAAATACAGAATTCAAGATAATTCAACAGAACCCGAGACTCATGGGAGAAATAAAGTGATGATTGAAAAATCCAGATTTGGTCCTTAAGGCATTAAATTGTTATTTTTCAATTCCTAGACAAAAATAAACACCATAGACATCTGCCGCACTGATCTACTCTGCCATGATGGCTAAAGTGTAAATACCAGATGACAATTTTTGTTTATCCGAGCCACTGGAAGACAATTCCAAGTATCTACTACACATACCACAAGATGACAGAGCATTGGATTGTCAAACAAACAGGGCATGGCATCATTATAGAGCTGCTGAGTCAGAGAGATTACAAAATACGCCAATTAGAGTAAGTTATTGTCATAGTAAAACATCCATGTGTTATGGCAATAGTTTGTTATATTTACATTTTAGGGGCCATCTCTTATTGTGATACTTACAGAAACCGTAATAGTTTCTTTTAAAGGGACACTCCACTGCCCAAGCCCCAACAAAAAAAAAAACCCTGTTTAGTATATATACACACAATGAAAAACATTTATGCATTTTATTATGTATTTTTTAATGTAAAGGCTGCAGATCTCTTTTCTGCAGCCTTTGCAAGCCCTCCCCTTCTAACCCTGCCCAGACTTTCCAATGCAGCTCTGGGCAATTGCCTGCCTCTTGAGTTTAGCTCAACTGAACTAAACAAACCAGGAAGTAACCGGACATGTTGTCTGATTGACAGCCAAGGGGGTGTAACAAGATTCATTTATAAAATGTATCTATGGAAATCTGCAGGTTTTGTAAAATAAGAAAGGTATGGACAAGCATATAAATTCCAAATGTCCCTATTTAGTTGGGACCGTCCCTATTGTGGGCCAAAATCAATCTGTCCACTTCTTCACTTTTTTATGCTAATAGTAGGAGGGACATAGGATAGTCTTAGTAATTTTGAGTGTATTTATTACAGAGCTCCACAGCAATACTACTCACATCAACGTTTCTTTAAACTACAAAACGTGTTTAAAATCAGTCTGTGTCAATAAGATACATTGTTCTTACTCTACATCACATTTTAGTTGCAATAAAAATCACCTAAAATCTATCAGAATAGCCCCGTCCCTGGTCACACCCCAGACACACACACCCCTAAAATTAAAGTATCCCTCTTTGTCCATTTAAAATGTTGAAAATTATACTTTTTTAGTCTTCACTCATAAAGTACTTTTAGTGGTTTTTCGTGTTCCTTTACGTTCAAACAATATACTGTATATAAAAAAGAACAAATATGAGTTTATTCCCTAAATACAATCACAATTATTTACAATGGGGAATTTTAAATTTTAGGCCCCCAAAAATCGGAAATTAAATAATTGTTCAGCATGAACACCCTAGTCATGACCTCCATCAGCTGAGAGAAAATGAAACATAGAAACACAGAATGTGACGGCAGATAAGAACAATTCGGCCCATCTAGACTGCCCAATTTTCTAAATACTTTCATTAGCCCCTGGCCTTATCTTATAGTTAGGATAGCCTTATGCCTATCCCACGCATACTTAAACTCCCCTCTACCACTTCAGCTGGAAGGCTATTCTATGCTTCCACTACCCTAACAGTAAAGTAATACTTCCTGATATTATTTTTAAACCTTTGTCCCTCTAATTTAAGACTATGTCCTCTTGTTGTGGTAGTTTTTCCTCTTTTAAATATAGTCTCCTCCTTTACTGTGTTGATTCCCTTTATGTATTTAAATGTTTCTATCATATCCCCCCTGTCTCGTCTTTCCTCCAAGCTATACATGTTAGCTGACGTTGTATGTTCAAGTGATTTTATGATTGTGCACTTAGAGTGTGAGTGGGTGCATGGGAAATGTATTATATATACACACACATATTTGTGTATACATATAAAGCACACACCTATGGAGGCGTCACACCCTGTTAAACACTATAAACACATAGATACATGAATTTGGAAACAACAACTGCTTGAAAAGGTTCAGTTTTATCCCTGATGCTGTTACCTAACGATAGTCCCAGCAGAACAATAGGCCTGTTCTTTATGGCGTTCAGGATCTGAAGGTTTAATACTAAGTCACTGGGTGACACCAGAAATCCTGTTACAGTAGACTACACAAGTCTGTGGGTACACCAAAAGAGTGGACTTTTTTTTTTTTTTTTTTAAATCCCACCCAAATTCTGGTGTGATTACTTCAGAACTGCCAATTGTCCTGATTTTGGTGGGACAGTCCCTATTTAATGAGTCCTGTCCCTTCATCCCGAAAGCAGAGCACCAGAGAACTGTCCTCAAAAAGAGTAGCATGAGTGCATTATGAAACACGCTTGCGCTACACTCTAGGCACTGCAATACCATGCAGAGAGCACTGAAACAGTATGTGGTCCTTAGTGGGCCGGCTTGCAAGATTGGCAGTCAGTCTGGCAGGTTGAACTACCTGTTCTTCTGGCGAACACACCCACTTTCTGGGCAGGTCTGCCCCTTTGGAGTGTGCAAATGAAGTGATTTACATCACAGCTCCTCTCCCCCTCCCCCACCGCCATCCAGTAAAGGTGTTGGGGTGTATGTCATCTATTCAACCTCCCAGCAATATATTATCTTCAGCCATCAATAAGGGGGGTGGGGGGGTTGTGGTGAGATAAAACGCAGAACTAATCATGATTGACACAGAATATTATTCTAACACATATTTATCATTAGTTCTTACCAAACCAATTAATTCGATTTTTTTTATTACAACAAATACTGCAGAGAATCGGGGGGAGCATTCACTGTTTGCTTTATACATGCACACAAGTGTAAGAAACTCTGGAGAGTCCAGAATAGCTCTCTCTGGAGTTTCCTTTGTGCATACTTTCCCAGCAGGCTGGCAAGGGGCAATGCCAAGGAGTGGGCATGCCAGTGATGAGCAGAGGCGGCCAATGCAGAAGAAGTGCTGTTTCGGAAGCAGAAACACCCAGCGATGACCGGACACAGATACAAGATGCACAAAATCTGGCCCTGTCTAGTGCCATCACAACACAGTCATTTCACTATCAGTAACCGAATTGGAGCCTGCCGAACTAGGTTTTAAGACTGTTTGTGTTAACATCATTGTATATGTGATGGCTATTGTGTTTTGTAAGCAGTATATCTACATGGTAAATAAATAGTCTAACCAAGTTCTTGCAGACCGCAAGTTACCATAATTCAATAAAATGAACATTGGATACAAATTATCATTGGACAGCGGTTTCCCTGCTCATCACTTTCTGAGTCCCAGAGTGGTCAATAAAGAAGGGCAGCAGCAGCTCAGACACAGAATGCAGATTAATTTATTCAGGGATGTGACTGAAATATACAGATTGACGTCTATGGATGATTTAACCCTTAGCACAGCCAGAAAAATTGCTCAAAGGACTTGTCCACGTCACAAGGGGAACAGACTTGATTTGCAAAGATCTCAGTCAGAAACTGGAAACCAGCAACGTTATTCAGAATAAATATAGCCCGGATTTGGTGGGGGTCCGGGAGAAAACAACCCCCAACTCTGTGAGCCCGGTGGAGCTGAGAAGCGCGGGCCTGCCGGCGGACCGGTGGCCGGAGGGCACGCGCCGGCAACATGTAAGTGGCCGGAGGAGGAGGTGGCAAGTCAGGGCTGGGACCCAGGGAGGCCCTGCTGAAGCTGGGGAGGTGCAGGAGGCGGGAGCCCAGTGGACTCTAAGGTGGGGAGGCCGCCGGACAGCTCCGGCCTCCGAGTGCCCACAGCGGGGTTGTGCCCCCAAAGACGTGGAAACCCGACTTGGGATGGGAAAGGGAGGGCACTGTCGCACCCGGGGGAACCGGAGAGACTCAGGGGGGGTACAGCTGACCCACCATGTGCAGCATCATCCAGAGGTAGACATGGGAAGGTCATACCAGAATAAAAGCTACGAAGAAGACTGCCAATTTCACACCAGATGGCTTAATCACACCGGGCGCCATTACGCCCCCTCCAGCGAAGTGACTTATATGTTAAAAGTTCAAATGTGTTTAGCTAGGGCTAACCATGCTAATGTTTCCTCTTGCATAAGCCCTTGTACATAGGATATACACTTTAATATTTGCACATCTATTTCACAGCGTGCCTGTTGTGCAGTTGATAGGGCAATGACACAATGCTAACAGCTACTTAACACCGCGTTACTTAATACAGCTTATTTAATGGCACGAAACATGACATAATTTATTACCTACAAATAAGGCCATCAGCTACGCGCATCTTAATGTTTAATTGTTAAATGCCATGTTTTATGCACAGATGTACGGAGTGTTTTGGTGCTCTAACCAGATACGTCAAGCACATACGGCACACGCAGAATATAAAATGTTTCTTATTACGCCCATGAGATTAGATAGTGAATACATATAGGGGACACACAAAATGGGCATCGCTGATAGCTTGAATAGCTGCAAAAATAAACTGCTACATGAGGATAAGTTAAACATATGCTTGGTGAACATTTTAGACTCTGCTATACCTATGTAGTCAGACCGTTATGGTACTGTTCTAACTTTGCAGGGAATTACCGATTGCTTAGCATCCAACTCCAAAACGATGACGTACACCTAAGCTTCTTCTAGCTATTACAGGCTTTAATTATTAACATACTACTTTAAAAAACAAAAACAAAAAAAAAACAACTGAACAAGATCTTATTTGCTTTGCTACACATGCCTTGACAGTACCACCTCTGCGCAGGCGACAGAACATTTGTGTACCGTTGCTTATGCCCCTGCGCGGGCGACCATATGCTTATCTTAAACAAGTCTGATAACTGCGTCATGTCGTAATAACAATAAAAAAAATATTCAACACAGAATAAATATAGATTTACTTGTAGGGCTATTTACAGTATAACTAAATCTTTCTGGCTTAATATAACCGTACAATATTTGGGAGAAGGAGTACACAGCTACGGAATTTGCTGGCGCTATATAAATAATATAATAATTTACATAATTTATAGAGCGTTGACAAATTCTGTAGCATAGATTTTGAAATCGCAACCAACAAACCTATAGGTCTAAAGGATGGATGAGGAAACCAACTGCCATATTTGCATATAATTAATCTATAAAGTTTGTAAAGGCAATCTGTGAGCACATTCAGCTACAAGGATAATTCTACTCAGTTTGTTTCCACAGTCCAATTCACCCTCTCTGTCCACTCTATGTTTTTTTTTTCTGCGGTGCCGAAGGGGTTAAAATCCCTCTCAGTCACTTACCTGAATCCAGTGCCGATGTCCCTTGGCACTGGGTCAGGCTCCGACCACACTCCTCCCCCGCCGACATCAGTCGGTGGGGGAGACATAATGCGCATGCGCGGCAATGGCCACGTTTGCATTAAGATTTCCCCATAGGAAAGCATTATTCAATGCTTTCCTATGGGGAAAACTCTGACGCTGGAGGTCCTCATGCAGCGTCCTTTCCAGCATCAGATAAAGGACCAAAGGTCCGTTTCGATTCCCGAAGCCCTTTAGTGGCTGTCTAGTAGTTTCTCTGGAACTGCAATGTTTTACATTGCAGCGCTTAGTGCAAAAGTGACAGTACACCCAGACTTCAATGAGCTGAAGTGGTCTGGGTGCCTACAGTGTCCCTTTAATTTGACACAAGTGTCCCTCTGACATTCTATTCTTCTTGTGTTCTTTTAGCCCTTCTTCCTAGATTGTAAGCTCCTTTGGGCAGGGGCTTCTTCACCTTGTGTCTGTCAACATTATTTTGTCAATTACTTATTAAATGTGCCCATTCTATAATTGTAAAGCGCTGCAGAATATGTTGGAGATGTCTAAATAATAATCCATATTTGAGGTCAATATGAGTCTGATGTCTCTGTCCAACGTTATATCTTGTGTAATTTTGAAAGCTGATTTAATTTATTGTGAATTAGGATTTTGTCATTTTTCTGGCACGCATAAATTTTTAGGCGTAGGGTGTTTTGGCACCGAAGGCATTATGTTATTCACTACCACTATTTAATCCCCAGCACACACAGGGCTCCTTGCCCTTTTATGGTTCAGAAGCCCTCCTCTACTAGCCCATTAATAAAATGAGTTAAGTGACAAACTCCGTGGGAGGCTTTACCCTCATTAGGGGTTATTTATGGAGACTAGAGCAATACCTGACAAAGTGAAGGGCCACATCTGGCTAACCATTTAGATCTGTGGCCACTGAGAAGGGCTCCGATAGGCCAATACATAAAAATGATTTGTCATTGGTGAGTTTTTTGTGAATGCCAGTAACTGGACCTTTCCTACACAGGTTTAGTCTGAAGTTTGTGCTGGAATTTCCAACACTGAATCTTAATGACGGAGAAACAGACATTATAGTGATCAATGAGCCTGCAGGCTGTGTGCTTTGTGAACGTTTCCAGAACAGAAGATGCTATTCCTTTAAAAGAAATAGTTTGCTGTTATCCTTTACAGGCTTCCCCAAACTCCGGCCCTCCAGATGTTGCTGAACTACAACTCCCATGATTCTATGAATTAGATAGGCTGAGAAGTGAGAATCATGGGAGTTGTAGTTCAGCAAAATCTCGAGGGCCGGAGTTTGTGGAAGCCTGCTTTAATATTATGACAATCTGAGATCCAGTATGCCCAAGATTCGTGGAAGCAGCTGTTATCACGGTTAATTATTTTTTAATTTATCAACACCTTTCCTATTTGTGATATTCACAAAAGTAAAATGAAACAGAATCACACTGCTGGGAGAAGGCCGGTAAGGGGGCAGAGGGCAAAAAGGCAATTGCCTCTTGATTCACAAGCACACATGAGTTTTGAGCTTTTCGACTGTTGGGTCAGTTCTCTGGTGTCCCCAAAAGCGAGACCCCAGGGGAATAAGCAGAACAGCAGGACAGTGCAAAAATTGGGACAGTCACGCCACAATCAGGATGGTTGGGAGGCATGTGACTGTTTAATCTCTTTCTTATCTCTTTATTCTGCCTATTCTCTACTTCTTTGCATCATATTGCCATTGTGCAGGGGAGGTGAAGGTGGATGGGAGGTTGGCATTATAACCGTGCTGAAGCTGTAGGCATGGTGGCTGGAGGGGACGTGCGTAAATATCGGAACATTTCGAGTGAATATATCATTTATCTCGATGATAAAGGATATATTCCTTGGCCAAGGAGGGATCTCTGCTAATGTGGACCTGGCAGTACAGGTTCTATTTTAATTATTACAGTCCTTTCCATTTCCCCTCCCGACACTAAACGTCACTAATTAGCTTAGCCTTTTCTGCTTAAACTGACTCATTTAACTTATTTTTTTTGAGAACTTATTTTTCTAGTGTTATCTCTCTTTTACTATGTGTGAACTTGAGCCAAAGAGCTTTAGCAGGAGCTTCCATTAGCAAACCTGTAGCGAAAGGCTAGCGTATTAACAGAGTGTCAGCTGATCGTTCTCAGCCAATGAGCCAAGCCACGCACACAGCTTAGCACATATAAGTATCTTCCGACTCTCCGTTGTTGTTGTAGTGTTGTGATGGAGGCAAGGAGTAGTGCCCAATGGACCCCAAGTAAGACGTTAAACTGTTCAAAAACTATTTGATTACTGCCAATGGGGTGGTAGTGAAGGGTTCCAGTGCACTGCAGACACCAAAACCACTGCATAGCGCTGTACTGGTTATGGTGCTTTTTAATCCTTTTAATATGGGTTGCGCTACACCAAGAAAGATTTTTAGGACCTTTAAGCCAATGGACAAGTCATTAAGCAGTAGTCATGGTCTTCCTGGTTCACGTGCGTTATGGAATGATAGGTGCCCTTTCTGAGCACGTGATCCATGACGCCATTAATTAAAACAGACTCTCGAACCTCTCAGCCCCTCTTATGGTGTTCAAGCTGCCAAACTTAGCAGGTGTGACATGGTGATACACTAACTGCTGGGGTAATGGAAGCCGTTGATTAATCCAATGCAGTAACAGAGATAATGTAAGTAAAAGGGAAGTTAATAAACTGGTAGGAACAAGTCCCTACAGGGAAAGGATGTGTTTAAGGATATGCTACCAGCAGGAGTTTTTATGTAAACTAGTCTGCACACATGCAAATTCTAAAAAGGAATACAGTAAACAACAAGCAAACAGAATAAAGCTTGATGTGATGTATGCGGTCTAGGACACAATCAAAGGAACAATAAACAGACATTGTTATCACTCCAATTGTTGTGAATAATCTGTCCCATAATTTCCACTCAGGTAGTGGAGAAATAAAGTCAGAGCAGTCCCTCCCAGCAACTACTCACACACAACGTTCTACACAGGAATTAACAGATCAGGTGCAGAAACCATCTTTACTTAAAGGACCGGGGCTGGACTGAGAGACCCTCAGGGTAATTACTTCAGTGAATTTTGTTAGGAATTTAAACTGAATTTCGAATGTAAGATCGAAGTAGCCAATCTGGAAACATAGTTTACTGGGAGAATGTTTCCAATTTGTCTAAAATCTGTAATTCGCTATACATTCCCAACAATTCTTACTTTTCGTTAATAATCCTGCCAGTCTTGTATCCTTAAAGTGAACCAGTATCCCTGTCATATTGTTTTAGGGAACTAGATCCCTGCAGAGAGCATTTCAGCAGAGCTCTCTGCAAAGTTCTGCAGTTTGGGTCCGGCCAGACAAGCCCCTCCAGTCCTTGGGTGGTCCCACACCTTTTCTGTGCTGGCTTGTCCCTTTTCTCAGTGGTCCTGACCATTATGGGCCTTGCCAGTGATGTGATTTGCGTAACTGGCGACAACCCCCCTCAGGCCTGCCAACCCGCTGCAATCTCATACCTTCCAAGTTGGGAGGCATTCACCCGGGAGATTGTCTGCCAGCCTTGTATTCTACAATAATTTGACAAATTACTCTGGGATGGTGAATGGGTGTTCCAGTGTGGTTATGGTGCTTGGAGTGTTGCTTTAAAATCTACAATTTTTAGAGTATTATTAGAGGGTTATCCACTAAATTATTAATTGTTGCCAATCAAGAGGGTTGCTAGGGTCAGAAAACACCCAAGGATTGAACCCAAAAGTAATTTAGTGACCCCTTCATAAATCCTCTGCCATGTGCAGA